AAATGAACTTACAGCTGATGTAAGTTACATCGCTGATCTAGACGACATCGCAAGGAACAGCCGCCGTCACCATAGACATGTCATTTCGGATCTTCAGTGCTTTTAGGCATTTCAAGCAATTCTCCTCAGTTCGACCGATTCTCGTCGAAACTCGAGAGTTCGACGTGCAATTTAACCCATAGACGCAACACACTGATTGTCTCTATCTTCTCAGAGGATCGCGATTCCGATCCAGTGGTAGATTCAGCGAAGCACTCCTCTTGGTAGGGTTAGTGTTAGCAAATTCTTTCAGGCTGAGTCTTGAGAGCTCGCCTACGAATCAATATGAAAAATAGGCTCAGAGATCGGCAAATAGTTAAGCATAAAATAAATAGCTCACTGACTATGACAACGAAGGATATCTTCTTTACGGATATCGACAAAACCAATACCGACCGTTTTTAAATCTCTTTCGAAAAAAGAAAAACATTGTTTTACTTCTGGTCTATGTTGTGTTAGTAAGCATGAATCCTTAATACAAACTCAGTTGTTTATAACGTAATGGCAAAGGTTTTTCTAGGTAAATTTGCAAGTCGGTACCATAACCCACATGGTTATAGCTTTAGGTTTGTTTTCGTAATGCTTAAGGGTAAATAGTACTATTTGCATACTGAAATCGATGGCTTGGTTTGGTTACGTAATATAGTATGTTTACCTAATCCGATATTTTCAGTTGAAGAAGTAAATTCATGTATTTAACTGCGTTTTATTAGTTCAGATTAAAATAATAGATTTGATTAAACCTGAGTTCCCCAAACTTTTTTGTGTCATAGACCCGTTGCCATTTTTTCCGTGTTGGGTATACCCCCTATTTACCTGATATTGATTTCCTGTAAATTTCTAACTGTAGTAAAGTTTAGTGTTAAAAACTTAAAGTAAAAACACATGTTAATTTATACATTTATTAATTGAATTTAAATTAAAACTACTAAAAAAAATTTTTTGTATCTGTTATGTAAAATATACGTAACATAAAATAAACATAAAATAAACTATAAATAAAATAACATAAGCAATAAGTCAATATTTTTAGTGAGAAGGGTGAACCTGATGCTTTAATAATAAATTATATACCAACATTTGGCGTCAAATTTGTAAGGGTTAATCTTAAATCTCCTCGGCTAATGATGTCTTGATATTATAAGATAGTATGATGTAAGTAAATAGGTACTATCAGTGTATGTGTTGAGATCCACTATCGTGGACACCCAAATTTTTTTTCGCTGACGTACACCCCTTGCAAGTTGTCATGGACCCCTAGGGGGGTATATACCACTTTGGGAACCACTGGATTAAACATTTAAATGATAACACAAATTGTATTATCATTTGCTCAAAAGGAGATTTTTGATTTCTGTAATTTTTCAACAGAATCGTCATAAGGCTAAATTATTTCTGTAGCATTTGAATGGCACCAGTGAAATGTATCCAATATTATAAATTAAATAGTTCCCTACAATTTATTTCTTTGACGATAATTTGGTAGTGTATAGGCGATCGGTCGTCTCACGGGCGAATATTTTTGGTTGCTAACTTAGGCTCTCAGCTTTGTTAATATGAATTCGTGATTAAATATTTAGACTATTTTTGGATACTAGTAACTTGGGGGCTCATAGATTTTAAACCTTTATTTCTATTGCGTTAGGTTTAAGAACAATACGTCTACAATGAGACTAGAGGTACCTCGATATACGAGTTTAATTCGTTCCGTAAATTGTTCGTATCTCAAAGCAATTTTTCGCGTTGAAATTAATTAAAATGCCATTTAAAAGTCGTCGTGGCCTAAAGGATAAGACGTCCGGTGCATTCGTATCGACCGATGCACCAGTGTTCGAATCCCAGGAGAGTACCAATTTTTCTAACGAAATCATTCACGATTGACTTCCACGGTGAAGGAGTAGCATCGTGTAATAAAAATCAAACCCGATAAATTATAATTTTCATAATTACTGGTGGTAGGACCTCTTATTCTGTCTATATTTCGTTTGGCAAACACGAACTGCCTCTGTAGTTTTACTGTTTCCAAACGAGTATTATTATTGTAAGGAATTTCTCATTTCATTGTGGACACAATAGTTGTTTACGTGACGTAGTGAAGCCGCTGCCGGTCTCCGTTCGCCCGCATTTAAAATACTTTGTTGACGAACGACCATCGATGTAATATAAAAAATCAGAATTCGACCTGCAACGAACATTTAAAGACACGTTAAACGAATTTGTTATTGTTGATGAATATTTGTTGTTTAAATTTAAAAGTGTAGATACCGAAATCTTGATTTGTTCAGGGACTCGATTTCACCGGCACACAAAAAAAAATTGTCTGTACACGGGGCGCTACCTATCTACGGGCATGTTTTTCGACCCGCTGAATACGAATTTTAAGTCAGTTAAGGCCAAACAGCCTTCAATTTCAAGTAAATTGCAAAAAACCCCAAAAGATCCCACACTTTGTTTGTGGTCGTTGTAATATTATGTTGACATGATGGGAAAAAACCAATAACAGAGAAAACTTGAAAATCCCAATTTTCTTCGATTTTTTATGATTTTTACAATTTTTTTTAGATTCAAAACGGTTTATGATTAAATCTTACGATCGAAATTAGTATTTAACAGATCAAAATACATGAAAATTATGCCTGCCTTAGATTTCAAATTTTTTTTTGTTGCCATAACATCGAATTTTCGCAAATTTTTGGGGTTTTTCTGCAATTTACTCGAAATTGAAGGCTGAACGGCCTAAACTGACTTGAAATTCGTATTCAGCGTCTAAAAACATGCCCGTAGATAGGTGGCACCCCGTGTACAGACAATTTTTTTTTTTTGTTTGCCGTTGTTTTTTTTTCTTCAATATAATTGAGACTTCGACCTCATGTCATGTCTCAAGGGGGGTGGCGATATTCAAGGCGTAAAGTCTATGGGCTGTAGCTAGGCGCTTTTCTTTAGTCACTTAGTGGCCAGGTAACTTATCAGTGCAACAGCAATATGAATAAAAAAAAAATGGTTATCTGTAAAGTCAGTTTACGAACGATACTTTTACGTGATAACGTCAGTAGCAGAACTATTCGAATTCTGACGTCACGCGAGAAGAAAGTTGAATGTGTCACAAGCCAACGCTTGGGCCAATTGTGTCTCTCTATCGCTTGTTCCGCGCTCTCGCTTCCACGCTCAGGCTCAGGCGGAACGTGATACTTTTTCGTGAGTGTAGCCCGGTGTTCATCGATTTATAAGACAATAGCCGTACTCGCCCGCTTCGCTGGGCATTTAAAATTAACTTTTATAACGAATTATTAAAATAATCCCAGTTTAAGGTGTATTTTATAATTAAGTTTAACGATGTAAAATATATTTCATTGGTGCTATATCGACTGACAGCTTTCTGAAAAACTATGTGGTTGCCCGGCGACGTCTCTGCCGCTCCGCCCGCATGCATTCCCCTTCAAGACCGACTAGTAGAGTAAATAGGGATGTGTGATGTGTGCGTTNCGATGCAACGCAATAACTGCAACACGGTCTTCTTTAAGCGTCCACTCCATATTTAAAAATGAGTAAAATTCTAAAAGTATACATTTTTATTTTCATGAACAATTCGAAATTCGAATTCAATAAACTTTTTTGTGGCCAGCATTCTAAAAGAAAAGTTTTTACTGTGTGACAATACTTATGACCTGACTAGTTATAATTACATTTATTTCGCGACATTTACCTTGTAATATCTACCCGTTCGTATGTCGTTTATAGCAATAAAATAAAATTAAAAATAAAAAGAACTCAAACGAATCAAAACTTTTGTTATTTCAGAATCTATTCACGCGTCGAATCATGATTTTTTTAACATTCATAACGCACATACAAATAAAGACAGGCCTCAGATTTGAAATGTAACATTAATTAAAAATCCGAGATAACTAGGTTCCAATTATGAGTGAGTGAATTAATTGAGTTTAGTTATTTAGCTTAGAAAGAATTTCTTTTATTTTTGTTATTATTGGCAGTAATCAGATAAAGCTGCTTTTTTATCTTATTCACCTGATATCTTACTCTTGCTCAAAGATTATTTTGAAAATGTTGATTAAATAAAATTGTATTATTGCATTTCCAGTCCTTTTGTTTTCTATTTTTTATTCTATTTTATGATTTTGTTTCAGAGTTGTGATTTGTAAGGAATATAAATAATAATTTTCTAAAATATAACATGCACATACTTTTTTTGATCATTGTATTGTTGATTATCATTCACGTCATATCGCTTCGGAATAGAAACCAGCTTAATTTACACTATGTTGTGTATTGTGCTTAAATTATGGATTGTATTCATCATTTCGGTCCATATAAATAATTGTATGGCACGTACCTACCTACCTATATATCGCAGTACTGCGAGCTGACAACCCTTACAAATATCCCAATTTAACCCTTACCCGTGTCCGTGTTACCGATTATTTCTTTAAAATGAATAATTAAAATAATGTAACGATTTTTATCACCTAGGTACGTTCAAGACTCAACTTATTTCTTTGGTTGAGAAGTGACTATTTAATTGGAACTATTTTAAAATTCAATCTGAAGTTCGATTTTGTCCCTATTTACCCCATTTTACGGTAACCTTTTGCCAATAGAAGCGAGGATAGAATGGAGCCTTGAAGAAGTCCAGCAAACATTTGACGGTGCCGATAGTGGATAGTTCACGATAGATAGTTCCACGACTCCATACCTTCATGAAGGGCTCTAAAAGAAGTTTCGCAAGATGATCACGAGTCTGTCTAGCACGCCTATGTTTTACATTTTGTAAATCAAAGCTTTACTTCTCGTTTTATACTGAGACACTATTTCATTTTGTTTTGCTTTATTCAATATTATCTTAGAATCAATTTTAAAGAAATCTACTTCATTCCACATTTTTCATAAACCGCAACAGACGAGGTGTTAGCTTTGCCTGTTGGGTTTCATTTCCTTTGCTTTTCAAATTGGTAAAATATTCAAAAACTCTTTGGTCAACTAGCTACATGCAATTAATAAGTGGCAACATCGTTTCCTTTCTTTCAGATTTATAGTAAAATAAGTTCGGTTAGTTTATTCTTAGCTTACATTTATTTAGTAAAATTTGCAAGTAATCACTAAAATATGTGTTTTTTTATGAATTAACATGACAACTAAATTTAATTTCGTTATGAAAAATGAAGGATTGTGTTTTAGTGTGGAGATAACTTGTGATATAGATATTGAATGTCAACATAACCTCTAAAGAGTAACGAGCTGGTGTTCGCTTATTATTTATTAATGATAATGACGTTTTAGGAATGGCAGACGCTGCGCCGTCCACTGCGCCTAAGGCGAAAACGCCTAAAACTAAGGCACCTAAAGAAAAAGTGGCCAAGGCTGCTCCAGCAGCTCCTGTGGAGCCCACAAAGGTCCTTCGCAAAGCATCAAAGCCCCGCCACGGCAGGCTGTACGCAAAGGCCGTATTCACAGGATATAAGCGTGGTCTACGCAACCAGCACGAGAACACCGCTCTCCTCAAGGTATGCAGTTAGGTTAATAAATTTATAAACCATAAAATAAGGTGTAAACAACTTAAAACAAATAGTGACACCTATTCATTCATTAATTTTATATACGAACTTGTAGGGAAATAGAAATAAAGCAGATTGAAAGACATTTTTAAACCATACACTATTGTATAGTTACTAGTACCTCTATACCTATAAACAGACAGGGTTTATTTAGTAAACTAGTAATTAAACTTTAAAATGTCTTAATTTTTAATATTACTGGAGTTATTTTGTGCAAGTAAACAATGTTCAACCAAGCAAAAAATAATACAAAACTGAAAATTCAATTTATATTCAATATTTCAATTTTTTGCTTAGAAAAATATTGTTTCTGTCCCTAATGACTAAATCAATATGTTTATTCTTACATCTAAATGATGGTAATGACATTTGAAACCTGAATTCACCATGTGGATAAAACTTCACACTGACTCTCTTAATGTTACTTCAAAAGTGCAGTCTTCTACTATAGTTTCTAACAACAGCATATAAATTTCAGGTTGAAGGAGCAAAAGACCGTAATGATGCAGTCTTTTATGCTGGCAAGCATTGCGTCTATGTGTACAGAGCTAAGAAGAGGACACCAATTCCCGGAGGTCCCCGTGGCAAAAAAACCAAGCTGCGTGCTATCTGGGGCAAGGTGACCCGCCCACATGGCAACTCTGGCAGTGTTCGAGCCAAGTTCAAGTCTAACCTCCCTGCCCAGGCTATGGGACACAGAATACGAGTGGTGATTATCTTTCAGATCATTTACATTTCCGTGTGCTTCAACTAAATCTGTTCTATGTTGTGAAATTAAAGTAATTCAAATATTTTACTCCTAAATAGAAACAATCAAATGAGAAATAAATTTAAAAATGAAAATCAAAATCCATCTGTGTGATGGAGGAACACTTAGATCAGAAGGACTGATTAGCAGCTTCATTTTTCATTGTTTTCATAATTGTTAAGACATGGTTGTAAGAAGGATTTTTTAAATATTAGATTCAGAGTGGTTCACAGAGGTTAGCATTGGTTTGGCTCTGCCGCTGGAACTGTTGATGTTCATAAACAGCGGTAACCACCATCAGGTATGCTGTATGCTCATCTGCCTATAAAAGCAATAAAAAAACTTAAACATCTCACATAGACAATTTATCTGCCAGGTGCAATGTGTGCTGCATGAGTAATAGTCTAGACTTGATACATTGCTTCCAAATGATGGCTTGTGACATTTGAAACCTGAAATATGTTATTATGTGGACATAGTATTTGACTGACTGATGACTTTATTGAATTATATTGTAGCAATCTTTTTGTTATAAAAAGTTATTAAAAATATATCTTTGTTGCAGATGCTGTATCCTTCCAGGATCTAAGAACCTTCTGCTAATTATAAGAATAAAATCCAAAAAAAAAAAAATGTGTTTCCTTAACTTCTCAATTCAATAAAGATCCTCTTTTAAAAGGATAATTTTAAGGGCTTCATATAATGTTGTGCTATCTACATAAATATATAGGGTTACCTGAAATTCGATACATTCCTTTGGAGGGGTAAAAGTAGAGCTTATTTGCAATAGATTTTGTCATTATGGACCCTAGCCGATAGTGATTACTTTTTGAGATATTCAAGTTTTTGTGCTTTTATTTTTAAATACCGGATAAATAATATGGAACGTGTCGTACAAATTACTAAAATAATTGCCCTATTTCATTAGCTGTTCAAAATGGTACGAAATATTACAGTAGTTTTTAAAATTAAAAAGTTATTAGGTAAGAAACATACAGAACATCAGTAGTTTTTGGATACGATAACTTTTTTAAACGTATTTTTTCTGGGACATCCGGCGTCTAAGAGAATCTGGAAGCTTTCGCACAAGACGAAGTGATGCTGGTAGACCTCGCATCTACGCTCCTGAAGATGAAGAAGAAATTCTCGCGCAGTTTGAAGAGGATCCTACTCTACTATGGGGATGGGAATAATCGATGTCAACCTCATCAGACCCTAGTTTTTACCCCAAAATTTTAATGGCGAAACGTATGAAAATTCTTTTCGTGATGATTTCACATCATTGCTGCTTGATGTGCTACTTACATTGAGAAGGGAGATGATTTTCCAGCATGACGGCTGCTCAGCCCATTTCCGCCGAAGAGTACGAGATTTGTTCTACCGAAATTATCCCCAGCGTTGGTTTGGTCGAGGAGGACCAATACCTTGGCAGGCAAGGTTTCCTGATTTGACACCTTGCGACTTTTACCTTTGGGGCCACATGAAAGAGCTTGTTTACCGAGCCAACAGCACAATAAATAATGTTGAAGAGCTCATATAAAATTTTTTAAGCGCAGTGCAACAAATAAAAGAAACTAACATCCTGTGTTACTAAGACCGAAAACGGAAGAGACTACCGTAATGAGAGTATTAAGAACCGTGGCTCCCATTTTGAGCAGGATTTTTAATTTTATATTTTGAATAAATAATGTGAAGATTCAGCCGATTTTCATTTCTTTCCCATTAAAAAAGTTTACGTATCCAAAAACGACTGATGTTCTGTATGTTTCTTTCTAGCTAATAACTTTTTGATTTTAAAAACTACTGTAATATTTCATACCATTTTGAACAGCTAATGAAATAGGGCAATTATTTTAGTAATTTGTACGACACGTTCCATACAATTTTTTGAAGCAAATTCAATATGAAGTAGCTTTAAAAAAAATTTTTCTAATGAACTCTAGCGAGTTTACGTTCATAACATAAAGTTAAGGAGTGTTACTACAGCTTATTGTTATTTGGAGGAAGTGTGGAGATGTTAGATATCAGATCATGCTCAAAAATAGGATCAAACTGGGACATTCACTTAGGAGCATATTTTTTTTGCTTAAAATCGGTATTTAAAAATAAAGCACAAAAACTTGAATATCTCAAAAAGTAATCACTATCGGCTAGGGTCCATAATGACAAAATCTATTGCAAATAAGCTCTACTTTTACCCTCCAAAGGAATGTATTGAATTTCAGGTAACCCTGTATATTCACTTTATGAACAGCAAAAAGTGATAGTCAACTTTGACCATTGAAGTACTATATAGGTCTATGACTTTGACTCTCTTCAGAAGATAAAGACATCTTCCTGGAACAGGTTTGGAACTATTACATTTGAATTTGCCAAATATGAAACTAACTGGGATCAGGACTTCAAGTTTTCTAGAGAATAGAGTCCAATATTAGATTTAGTACAAGCAATGGGCTCTCAAGGTGTTCCGAAACAACTACTTAACCCTTGCATTAGACGCCTTCAGCTCTAACATCAGGAGCCGGTTTAGGGACCCCGGTAACCATACACGTCGAGCTCGGTATGGGGTTCGTCGTGCAACCTAACCCATGCATCAGCCCGCTAGGTTTCTCGCCTGTCTTCTCAGCGGGTCGCTATTCCGATCCGGTACCTCGTAAATTCATCCACAAAGCAGCTGCTCTCGATCTCAATAAATGCGATAAACGTGGGAACAACCCGTTAAATAAGAGCGTCTGTTGGATTCAGTGCTATTTAAGAAACAAAAACGTTTACCTTATTAAAAGGAAAAAAAATTGAATATAAATACAACTGTAAAAATAACATCCTGTTTTTTATTGCAGTAAGATTCATTAGGTTAATTCGTAAATACCTAGGTATCTAAGAACGAAGGAAGTCACCGTTTCCCGTCCGTTGACTACTTCCTCACAATGACTGATTCACCGCAGCTTTCGTTAGAGGATCAATGGGACTTGAGACGTAATATAATTAATTCTCTTTATAAAACTTCCAATAGTAGCTGGTGGACCTCGCATGATCGTAACGACGGTCCTGCCTCTTTCTCTTATGACACATTCCTCTGAGGGTGCGGTAGCGATCTGTTATAATTGAGATGGTCTATGGGTCTATAGGTTATGGTCTATAAGTAAACAAAAATCCAAACAGAGAGCATTGCAAAAAGTGAAAATGAAAACTGACATGTAAAAAAATGTGAGCCGTCACGGGACGCCTGGCAGATGTGAAATTCGACATTATTTTGTAAAAGTAATATCCAGAAAAGAACAGATTGTGATAGGAACTAAACATGTTATAATGATAAAATAAAATATTACGAAAAAATAATTTGTTTTCAAGTAAAACACAGGTTATGTGTACTGTAGTAAACAACACTGTATACACTACGGAGTATACACTATGGGTATCCGAGCTCAGTGTAGCGAGAGAGATGACTCAACGCCGGATCGAGTGAGAGAGAATCGCACAGTTGATTGCGCATGGCGACGCGTCGCCACACCGTACACACTACTGCATATAGACTGTATAACTAGTCAGGTCATAAGTACTGTCACACAGTAAAAACTTTTCTTTTAGAATGCTGGCCACAAAAAAGTTTATTGAATTCGAATTTCGAATTGTTCATGAAAATAAAAATGTTATTTTTAGAATTTTACTCATTTTTAAATATGAAGTGGACGCTTAAAGAAGACCGTGTTGCAGTTATTGTGTTGCATCGTTGCGGTTACGCGCCAATTCAAATTTTTAACATACTGAAAAATTTGAATATAACCAAAAGATTCGTTTATCGTACCATCAAACGATACAATGAAGACTCTAGTGTAGATGACAGGTCAAGAAGTGGTCGCCCTCGGTCTGTTAGGACTTCAGCAGTGATAAAAGCTGTGAAGGCGCAAATTCAAAGAAATCCCAAACGTAAGCAGAAACTGTTGGCCCTTCAGATGGGGTTAAGCAGAACCACGGTGAAAAGGGTGTTAAATGAAGACTTAGGGCTTCAGGCATATCGAGGAAAAACAGGACATCGTTTGAATGCTCGTCTAATGGACCTGAGACTGAAGAGATGCCGCGCTTTGTTGAAGCGGTTCGCGGGAAAAAAATATCGGGAAATTCTTTTTTCGGATGAAAAAATTTTTACCGTAGAAGAGAGCTACAACAAACAAAATGATAAGGTGTACGCACACAGTAGTGAAGAACCGAGCAACCGTATTCCGCGTGTCCAACGAGGTCATTTTCCATCCTCGCTCATGGTATGGTTGGGAGTTTCTTATTGGGGCTTAACAGAGGTACATTTTTGTGAGAAAGGTGTAAAAACGAATGCAGTTGTGTATCAAAATACAGTCTTGACGAACCTTGTGGAACCTGTTTCTCATACCATGTTCAATAACAGGCACTGGGTATTCCAACAAGATTCGGCGCCAGCTCATAGAGCGAAGAGCACACAAGACTGGCTGGCGGCGCGTGAAATCGACTTCATCCGGCACGAAGACTGGCCCTCCTCCAGTCCAGATTTGAATCCGTTAGATTACAAGATATGGCAACACTTGGAGGAAAAGGCGTGCTCAAAGCCTCATCCCAATTTGGAGTCACTCAAGACATCCTTGATTAAGGCAGCCACCGATATTGACATGGACCTCGTTCGTGCTGCGATAGACGACTGGCCGCGCAGATTGAAGGCCTGTATTCAAAATCACGGAGGTCATTTTGAATAAACTTTAGTGTCATAAGAATCTATGTTTTGTAAAGTTCATTTTGGTATATGAATGGTTACATAATGAATAAACTTGTTTCAATATTTACATTGGAGGTATTGTACATGTTTAATGTAAATATTGAAACAAGTTTATTCATTATGTAACCATTCATATACCAAAATGAACTTTACAAAACATAGATTCACATGTGACAGAATTTATGACCTGACTAGGTATATACCATCATATAGCGTGGCGTCGCGTCGCCACGCCAGAAATTGGTTTTACGTGCGGCTATAGATGTTTCACGTCAAAAAGTTAGATTCAAATGAAATTTATAATTAAATCATGAGAGGCAATCAGTATTGCCTCTCATGCCTCACACATTTTTTAATTTTTTTATAACTTGCTCAGATTTCATTCCTTAAATACGGAGGATATGTTACAATAATAATTACTTTTCAATAAATTTAGCATTTCTGTAATTCATATCTGCACCGTAAAATGTTCTCAAGGTTTAGTGGCTGTGTGTTGGTGCGTGAGGTAATAAAAAATGAGCCATTGCGGCAAGGCTGGCAGATGTGAAACTTTGATATTATTTTGTATAGGTATAGAGGCATAAAAGTATAGTTTACAAAGACAATTCACGTGGCATATTGAAAAATAAAATATTAATATGAAGAAACAGTCGCTTGCGCGTGGCGACGCATGTCATATAATTATAGCGGCGACGCGTCGCCACGGCATGCGTCGCGACGCCAGTAATCGGTTTAACGTGCGGCTGTTGATATTTCACATTGACAAAAGATTGTACTAAACATGTTTAAGTCCGTGGATTCAGTTGCGGCCTTCCATCTCATATTAAAGTTAATTAGAAAATCTAGTACCGCAGTAATTACACAAAAAGTATAATAAA